TTAATTTATAATGAAGAAAGTATGGAAAAGTTGTGCAATTTCCTTAAGCTGAACAGGACTATCTCTGCAGGTAACGGGTACACTTATGGTGCCACGTTGGGGTGTATCCTCCTTAAGGTGTATGTTTGGAAGGGGGCTGCAGCGTCCAGGGCAGAGGTGAGGGTAGCTATATATGAGGAAACAGCCAGAGAGAGACAGAAGAAGGTAAGGTTGAATGAGAGTTCAAAATGGACATCAGCTGAGAGTTGCTGGAGGAAAAAGAATTCAGGTTCCTCTTATGTTCAGGGGGGTTAGGCTGAGAATGTTGGGTGAGGCGGGCTCTCAAGAAAGGCTATGGAGTGTTACAGAGATCAGAAACCATGCATCACATTTTCAGTTTGTCGTTTCTAATTCAGTATTTAGTTCCCTCACAAAATGTTAGTTTCCCATCATCCATACCAATCTTCCTCTGTCGCTTCATACTTGCTCTCCTTCTCACTACACAGTCTTTCGCCTCCGCTTTCTATTAAATTTCACCATCTGTATCATGGCCTAAAAATTATGCAATAGGGCATTAAACACCTTAGGTGAACCCAGTGAACCGCAATTATTTATGGTTACCTTGCAGGCAAGTACTGATGGTTACTTCAGAAACTGGAAAAGACTCAGACAATCACTACTGTAGACAGACACACCAGACATCCCAGCATAGTCACTGGGCTAGAATATCAATGCTTGAGTCAACAGCAATGTGATTGTCTATCTTTTCCCTAAAGTAAACATTGTACAAATTTAAGATAGCCAACACTATATGGACAACTTTCCTAAAGTAAACATTGTACAAACTTAAATGACCACTATAGTGCCAGGAAAACAAACTTGTTTTCATGGCACTATAGTATTAATAGGTCTCCCCGACTCCCATGGCCCCCCTCTCGCCGGGATGAAGGAGGAGGAAGGGGTTAAACACTTACCTTTCTCCAGAGCCAGGCTCCGTCGGCACTGGGGACTCTCCTCCTCCTTCGGACATCATCGTCTGAATGCGCATGCGCGGCAAGGGCCACGCGCACATTCAGTCGGTCCATAGGAAAGCATTCTCAATGCTTTCCTATGGACGCTGGCGTCTTCTCAAATGAAAATCACAGTGAGAAGCGCGGAAGCGACTCTAGCGGCTGTCAGTGAGACAGCCACTAGAGGCTGGATTAACCCTAATGTAAACATAGCAGTTTCTCTGAAACTGCTATGTTTACAGCTGCAGGGTTAACCCTAGATGGATCTGGCACCCAGACCACTTCATTAAGCTGAGATGGTCTAGGTGCCTTTAGTGGTCCTTTAAGATAGCCAGCACTATATGGACAACTTTTTATAGCTACAGAGCTATATACTGGGATGTGAATAGTGGATCTATTTATAAATCACCTCTTTGTGGTGCCAGCACCTATTCTGTAAGTGTTTAGATTGTTTTTAGTGGCAGTTTATAATAAAGGGCATTACGCCATTTGCACCTTATCTTTAGTTCGGTGCTTGCATTGTTGTGCATATTTTGGTGGTGCATGAAGGTGTGTGATTAGTATTTATTTTATTTCTGGTTTTTCAACTATTTCATTTTATTTAATATTTAAGTAATTCACTATAATATAGTAAAATATTGCCTGGAATTCAAAATGAATTTCGAATTAAGGTCAAAATAGTTAAACGGGCAAAATTCTCCAAGTTAGCTATTTTTCCAATTCAGCTATTTTGGTCTAAAATGTGAAATTCACTTTGAACTCCTAACCATTTTCACATTAGTAAATAACCCTGATATTATTTTTAATGTAACATGAGGAGAAAAATTATTAACATTTTCTACACTTTCAATGCGAGCCCAAAGCACGAACCTCCAGTATATATCTCGGTGGGCTTTTATTTTGGATTTTGGATAAAAACATAAAATGGGATAATTTAACAGAATATTTAACCAATCTCAGCTACAAGCTTTTCTGTCCACAGCAGGATGTACAACCGAATCACAAAAACGGGAACTAATAACATCTCACTTGTTTGCAATTTAACACAGACCAACTACAAACAAATTTAACTTTTTTGCAGCTGTCACACGTCTTTTTTTTTAATCCTATTTTATACATGTAATTTATGTGCAGATGTGACCTGTGATGTACCTATACTTTTATTTAAGACTTCACCACCTGCACACAAAAAGATTTACAATTATTTTTTTATTCTCTGTATCTGACAGATTCTCAAATCACAATTCACCAAATGGCACCTTACCAGTCAATTTATAGAACTGGTAACAACTATGCTACGGGGTATAAGTGATGTAAGTATAGATAGTCTTGTGTAACCATAGAGATAGCAAGATGTTCTACAAGACCTTGGAGATATTGTACAAACACATATGAAAGTAAGTGCTGCCAGGAAGACCATTTAAGGAACAAGAAAACATTTTACGGGAGCAGGAGATTAAAGAATACCAAATTCCCTGGGGGTGGCGAGAAAATTAAATAAGATGTATGAAAACTAATGATAAATATTCCTATTGTGAGAAGAAACTTCTGTGTGCCTATTCACTGAACATCAAATCGTAGTTAACTGAAATAAAAAAAAAAATCTAAATATCGCAAAATCATTTTAGTTTAGTGCAGTGTTTCCCAAAGCAGTCCTCAAAACCCACCAACAGTCCAGGTTACGACAGTATCTGCACTGGAATAAAACAGGGATACATAAATCCTAAACTGTTGGTGGGCCGTGAGGTTTGGGACCCGCTGGTTTATTATATAAGTGATGATTGTATGACTACACAAAATAAATTATGTACATTCACTGGCGTACATACCGTGGTCGCAGGAGTCGCGCCTGCGACCGGGCCCGGCCACCCTGTGACCCAGTATGTACGCCAGTGTGGCCAGCCTCTTCTCCTGGGGGGTCCAGGAGTTGGCCACCTCAGGGCCCCCCGAGGCTGGCCCTGGTATCACCAGGCGGGCGGGCTGGCTGGCGGGCGCGCAAGGGAGCACTCTCCCCTGAGCGCTCTCTGCCCAGCTCCCTTGCCCGCTGCATACTGATGCCGGAGCCGGAATGACGTCATATTCTGGCTCCGGCATCACTGCGGTGCATGAGGGAAACTGCAGTAATTACACTTGCAGGGTTAAGGGTAGTGGGAGTTGGCACTCAGACCAATGGGCAGAAGGGGTCTGTGTGCCTGGAGTGTCCCTTTAATGATTTTATGCATATTTACCAACTGTAAAATGCCGACCTCTTTCACGATTATCACAAAAAAGAAATACATTGTTATTTATTCCATTAAAAACACCACCAGTTGCACGCACTCAGATTTTATGATTTGTTTGTTTATTTATTTTATTAGCATTGTGTATATATGCAGGCGCCTGTATTACAAATCCATAAAAGCCATAAGACAGCTAACAGTTTGTGTGTAAAGAAGAGGAAAAAAATAAATAAAATAACACATCTCATGTAACCATAGTGATAGGAAGATGTTTCTACAAAGACCTAGGAGGGATTGTACAAACACATATAAATGTGAGAACTGACAGGAAGACACGACTTTAGTGATTGACTGTTGGAAAATAAAATACTGCATAGTATCAAAACACTGAGTTGGGAAAAAAAAAAGAAACCTGATCAATTAGAAATACATATTCTCATTAGTCATGTTAGGTATACCTGCTCCAAATACTTACATGGTTAGCCACTAATGTGAGAATTCAAACTGAATTTTAAATGTAAACTCCAACATATATCGTTATCCTTTTTTAAATTTTTTTAATTTTAGTAATAAGTAATTAACAGTCTCTCCTCCCCCTATACAACAGGTGGAGGAGAGGGTAAAGAAGGGGAGGAAACTGAAGAGAGGGACAGACATTGTTCGTTAAGGGGAGACTTGGTTTATTTAACCCCTTAAGGACCACGGATGGTTCAGGACCGTCATCTGCATTTTTGCGTTGCCGACCATTGACGGTCCTGAACCGTCCTAGCGGTGTAATGTACTTACCCGATCGCCGTCGTTCCCCCCGGCGGCGATCGGCATTGCTCCCATTGTGGGGAGACTGCCTGCAGCCCAGACAGTCTCCCCACGGAGGACTAGGACCCCTGGGGCCATGCGATCGCTCAACAGAGCAATCACATGGTCACAATAGGTGTCCATGTGTCTGCCTGCAGGGGAACTGCCTGTGCTGACAGGCAGTCTCCCTGCTAGTGTAAAATAAAATAAAAAAAATAAAGGTAATGTTAATTAAAAAAAATATGATATATAGACTAGGGATCGACCGATTATCGGTTTTACCGATATAATTGGCCGATGTTCGGTATTTTCGGCAATATCGGTATTGGCCAATATAGATACCGATATTGCCGATAATACCTCCTAGGACTGCCGGCGGTCCTCGGGGGCCAGCAGCAAGCGCTGACTTACCTTGCCAGCAGCTCCACCAGCTCCCCAGTGTAAATCTCGCGAGACCCGCGGCCGCAGAGCATTGCCACAGTTACCATGGCAACGCTCAGCGCGGCACTAAGAGCGGCAAGAATTACACTGGGGGGGCTGCTGGCAAGGTAAGTCAGTGCTTGCTGCTGCTGAGCCACCACAGTACTTAACAAGCCACTGGACCACCAGGGAATACTATATCCCCCTCCGTGGTAAGAAGCAGGGATGGGGGAACTAAAAAAAACAAAAAAAACACCATTTAAATATTTTTTTTTAAATAATTAACATAAAAAAATGCCCCCACCACCATTTTACATAAATTACATATACACACACACTCACTGCATTACATACACACTACACAAACACACACACTGCATTACATACACACACACTACACAAACACACACACTGCATTACATACACACACACACTACACAAACACACACTGCATTATATACACATTACACAGACACACACTGCATTATATACACACTCTGTGTAGTGTGTAGTGTGTATTGTGAATGCAGAGTGTGTATATAATGCAGTGTGTGTGTGTAGTGTGTATATAATGCAGAGTGTGTGTGTAGTGTGTATATAATGCAGAGTGTGTGTTTGTGTAGTGTGTAGTGTGTATTGTGAATGCAAACACACACTCTGCATTATATACACACTACACAAACACACATTCTGCATTCACTATACACACTACACAAACACACATTCTGCATTCACTATACACACTACACAAACACATTCTGCATTCACTATACACACTACACAAACATACACTGCATTCACTATATATACACACTAAACAAATACTCACTGCATTCACTATACACACTACACAAACACACTCTGCATTCACTCTATATACACACTACACAAACACTCACTGCATTCACTATACACACTACACAAACACACTCTGCATTCACTCTATATACACACTACACAAACACTCACTGCATTCACTATACACACTACACAAACACACACAGCTCCCCTGTCTAAGCACACTTCATCCACTACATGTGGCATGTATATTTTGTGCATTTACCTTTAGGATTAGTTTATTTTTTCAAAATGGTAAATGTACAGAATATCGGCAAGTTATCGGCTATCAGCCTGAAAGTTCACAGATTATCGGTATCGACTCTAAAAAAAAAATCAATAATGGTCGATCCCTAATATAGACATATATTATATTTATATTATATATATATATATATATATATATATATATATATATATATCATATATATAATGTCATACTAATTGTATTTTTATATTAATATGTACATATATTAATATAAAAATACACTTATAATTAAATTACACACGTATATATAATAACTATATATATTATTATAAAATATAAATAATAAGTAATTTAAATTAAATAAAAATGTAAAAATAATAATAAAAATTAAAAGTATATATCTATATGAAATTTTATTCTAACTGTATTTTGATATATATATATATATATATATATATATATATCAAAATACACTTAGAATGAAATTGTATATATATCTATGTATATATCAATAAATAAAAATTATACGAAATATACATATGTCCATATACAAAATTACATAAATAATTATATAAATATACACGTAGACTTCAAATATATAAATATGCATATATATTTAAATTCTACGTGCGTATTTATGTAATATTTTTACATAATTATGTAATTTTATTGATTGCAATTTGAAGGACCTGCCTGCCAACCCAGGCTGAAAGTCCAGAGAATTGAATTTGCTAGCACTGTATTTTACCCTGTAACGTTCTAGGACACCCTAAAACCTGTACATGAGGGGTACTGTTTTACTCGGGAGACTTCGCTGAACACAAATATTAGTGATTCAAGACAATAAAACATATCACAGCGATGATATTGTCAGTGAAAGTGACTTTTTTTTGCATTTTTCACACACAAACAGCACTTTTACTGATGATATAATTGTTGTGATACGTTTTGAAACACTAATATTTGTGTTCAGCAAAGTCTCCTGAGTATAACAGTACCCCCCGTGTACAGGTTTTATAGCATTTTTGAAAGTTACAGGGTCAAATATATGGGTCAAATATTTTTACATTGAAAATGGCCAGGTTGGTTACGTTGCCCAGGAATGAGAATTACCCCCATGATGGCATACCATTTGCAAAAGAAGACAACCCAAGGTATTGCAAATGGGGTATGTCCAGTCTTTTGTAGTAACCACTTAGTTACAAACACTGGCCAAAATTAGCATTCAATTTAGTTTTTTACTTTTTTCACACACAAACAAATATGAATGCTAACTTTGAACAGTGTTTTCGACTAAGTGGCTACTAAAAAAGACTGGACATACCCCATATTGAATACCCTGGGTCGTCTACTTTAAAAAAAATATGTACATGTGGGGTGTTATTCAGAGATTTATGACAGATAATAGTGTTACAATGTCACTATTGATAAATTTTAAAAATGTATGTTTTGAAACCGCAATATCCTACTTGTACCTATAGCCCTATAACATGCAAAAAAAAGCAAAAAAGCACGTAAACACTGGGTATTTTTAAACTCAGGACAAAATTTTGAATCTATTTAGCAGTTTTTTTCATTCGCTTTTGTAGATGAGTAAAAGATTTTTCAAGTAAAAGTCAAAAAACATGTATTTTTTCAATTTTTCATCATATTTTTTTATTTTTTTTAAATTAAAATACATGAGATTATATAAATAATGGTATGTAAAGAAAGCCCCTTTTGTCCTGAAAAAAACAATATATAATTTGTATGGGAACAGTAAATGAGAGAGTGGAAAATTACAGCTAAACACAAACATTACAAAAGTATAAAAATATGCCTGGTCGCAAATGTACAACATTGCAAAAACAGTCCAGTCCTTAAGGGGTTAAGGAGATGTAGCTTGATATTGCAAGTTTGATCACAGTTTTGCCTGCAAGGGAAGGATCATATTACATCTGTTGCTAGTGTGCAATGCGGAGGGCAGACATATTTTTTTTTTTTTTTTGCACCTAAATTCTGTAACTGTGATAGCATTTGAAGAACATTGTTGGAACAGACATCAGTCACAAAGTTATTCTAAATATTTAGTGATTTATGTGTTAACTGCTTTACTTGCATAGCTGCTCACCCTAATATGAAAAATGCTTTACAAGACCTACTCGTCATGGGGAAGGAGACATTAGAAATCTAGATTTAAATGTAAACTGTTACTTACATTTTGTATTCAACTTGTAATGGTTTTGGCACTTCTATATTTTCTATACTTATGCATATTGATTTAATTTTCAGATTAAACCTTTGACATTGCATTCCCTTTCCATACCAAGAGCAAGACGTAATGAGCCAGAATGTGAATACATTAATGCAATATTCATAAAACCAGGCTTCAGAATGAGACAGTCTTTCAGTAGAGAGGCAGACATTTTTTAAAAATGATTTAATTATTAAGATTCTGGGAACAGATTGATTAACAGCCTCTACTTTTATGGTTTAAATGTCCATTTTCTGAGAGATTTCATAAGCAAGTGTCATTTTCATAGATGATTATTATTATTTTATTATTTATATCGCCATCACATTACGTAGTGCTGTATACTGGGTGGACTAACAGACATGTAATTTTAACCAGACAATTGGACGTACATGAACAGAGAGGTATATAGACAACCCACTAATCTGGCTGCAGCACCATTAGTGACCTTAAAGGGTTACGCTAATCAGTTTTTCTCGTCTACATATTTTATTTAAAAGGCCCTACTGGGCACTAATAGCGTTTCCACTGCATCCTTTTTATTATTTTTATTTTAAAGTAAAGGCTGGAAATTAAGGTTTTCCACCCACTGTCAGATGTCCTACTGCATCACTTCTTTCTTCTTCGTAGTCCAATCAAATGTTTCTCATATTAATCGGACCAATTACAAGGCTCAGAGCACACGTGTACACTTTGATTAAGTGATGAGAGGGAAGAGGTCAAGGGAGGGTGTGGGTGTGTATATATATGTATTTATTAAATTTTTCTTTAAAAAAAACAAACAAAAAAAACAAGGCTTAACTGTAAATGCAGGAAGTTCATGGAGGGAGGGTTGTTCTAGGCTTCCCCTTGCGGGATCTCTGCCTGCAAGGGTAGAAGCATTATACTTCGGGTGCCATGGACAGACATTTTATGCACAGATTTAACCTAAGGCAGCCCAGAACTGTCACATGTGCAGAGGGTGTATGAAGCGCGCAGCAAAAAAGTGCAACTATGTCTGAGGAAACATTGCATACGCAGACTCCTAACACCATGATTACTTTTAAAAGCAGAAGTGGTCATGGTGGTTGGAGTAACCTTTTAAGTTACTGTGTGCTTTGTGCACTACCAACACACAGTGGTACAAATTGCCTGCATTATGTATTGATTATTGACACATTAATGGGGATAAATTTGATTTTTTTCAGATTTTTTTTCATGAAACCTTTTTTCATGGATTCAATCCCTATTAAACCAATACTTTTATTTACAAAGAGAACTCCTACCTAATCTTGAAGCTTGTAGGCACAACAAATTCACAGTGTTTATTATGCCCAAGATATCGGAGAGCACGAAATGTTGTCCTCCTAATTGAGCAATTTACCAAGTCTAAGAGCTCCAAACTGTGACAGCCAGATCAAGCAAAATAAAGCATTGGCAGCTAAAGGCTACTAAAATGATTTACTGTGCTAATACCGCTTTCCTATTAAACTGTTACAATTGCTCACAAATTACAGTCACTGTAAACTTTTCACAGTTTCATATTGTATAACTTTGTTTAATTTAAAACAGATAGCAAGGCTTAAATTCAGGAGAGAATGTGTACAGAATGTCTGTCTGTGTGTAAATACAGTGGTGTATTTGTATGGATTATCTGTGTGTAAATGCGTGTGTGTGTTTGTGCAGCTTTGTGTGTGAATACAAGAGTGTATTTGTGTGAAGTGTGTGTTTGAATGGATTGATGTATATGTGTTAATTCAGGGGCGTACTCCTCCTTCTGGCTCGTGGGGCACATGTCCCAAAAACCACTAGTGCCCTTATTGACACAAGGGATATCGACTGTGCCATGCACAGACCAAGATGGCTGAATCTAAAGGCCCTGGGGCCTGTGCTTCTCAAATTACCACCGTCCAAGGTAATGCTCTCTCGCAGACCTGAACTCCAGCATCCTTGTCTGCTTCCTTGGGGGGGAGGGGGGGCTCTGATGGCATGGCTCTTGCCATTAAACAAGACATTGAGAACCTCATACATACAGTGGCTACAGGTTACAGACATGACAGTGGTGAAGGCAGATGTCCAAGAGGTCACTGACAGAGTCCAAACCTCTGCGGGGAACATATTAGATCTCCACCAAGGTACATCTTCCATGAGGGGCACTATTAAGCATATCCAGTACAATCAACAAATAGCACCCTTGATGATTGAAGCCGGCGCAACATTAAATTCAGAGGCATGCCGGACACAAACACTTTGGAGGAGCAACAGCACAATTCATACCACGTTACATCATCTATCCCCATCCAAGTTAAGCTCGGAAGCTCACTTACGAAGGGTTCTACCTCTTAACTAATTACTCTTGGTTCTTGGTTCTAATAGTATAAATACTCATGTTATAAAACTGGGGTATATATAGTGGCTTAAGTGACTG